CAAAAACAAAACAAAGAAAATTGCAGTAAATGATAAACGGATTGGTACACAGTCAAGTTACTTGAAAATAGCAATAAGTTACTAATTGCTCATTACTTCTCCAAGAAAGTAATCCTGTTACTTTACTAATTTCTTATTTTCAAAAGTAATTAGTTACTTTATTACTTGAACATGATACACAACCTGAATATGTAATAAAGCAGTTGATCTTTAGAACAGTTCTATTTTTCCTGCATAATAAATCATATAAAATGTAATCAAATGAAAAAGTCTCTTTTTAAAACATGTTTTATTCGTTTTAATCTTTTAACTTTATGCACATTGTATCAAACTAAAATGTAAAAAATTAAATTTGTTTAACATTTAAACCTATTTTCTGCATAAAATAAAATAATGTTTTGTGTTTACACTCTTTCAAATAGATGAAAGTAAAACACAGCAGAAAATGAATAAAATCACAGTTTCAGCAGCTCTGAGTCCCGTCGCTCTTAGATCCATCGTCTGTGTTTAGCAGGTTGGGGCGGGTGGAGCTTTGCCCACAGCGGTGATGTCAGTGGGGGGTCCGGGGGTTTCTCTGTGAGCGTCACATTCCCGTGGCAGCGTGCTCGCTGCTCGCTCAGATTTGAAGTTTAATTTTTCGCTGTAGAAAGAAGTTTTCTTCCCACGCAGAGTGCACAGCAGACGCTGATGTCTTTGTCACTTTTTACTGACTAAAACTTAAAGTAATGCGAGTACTTCCACGTTTTAAACGCTGCATGGTCACACTCTCTCCATATTGTTGATCTACACACGTCTGATGCTGCCACGGGCGCTGCACGCCCGTATGTCATTGTCATGACATGATGTGGCGTGCGTACAGGAATGTAACTGTAATGTAATTACTTTTTTGCAACAGTAACCCCTTGCATTACTCTTTACTTGGAAAAAGTAATTGGATTACAGTAACTCGTTGTTGCCCATCTCTGCTGGTACAGCTAGGTCCATGAACTTTTGATCAATGACAAACAAGTTTTTTGAAAGGTTTTTAAATCATACATCTGCGTAACAACTGTGATGGTCTGACGTTCAAGTGTTGATTCAAGTCCAGACTTCGAGTGTCAATTCAAGAATTTTAATTATAAAGGACAATTTAATGTGCAGGAATTGCACTACTTCAGCATCGAGCTAGTGCTGCTGAACAGGACAGAGAATAAATAAGTGGCAGGTCCTTTCAAATTCAAGGCTTCTATAAACTGAACAAACAGAAACTGCTGCACAGTGTGTTGCTAGCTAAAGCTACAGCTGTGGTGATCTCCAGAGAAAGAGAAGAGTGTGAGATAACTTCACTCAGAGATGGAGAAAGACATCAGAAAGACAGGACAGGAGAGGAAGAAGAGCAGTTATGTTTGTATAGATTTATATTATTGATTACTGTGATGTATGTAGGACAACATGGTGGTGTTAGCACTCTCTATGGAGGATGTATGCTGTCCCTGTGTTTGCCTGTCAGTCCACGCACTCCCGCCTCCAAAGACATGCAGTTAGTGGGGTTAAGTGGGGATTCTAACCTGCCCATAGGTGTGAGTGTGTGTGTGAATAGTTGTGTGTTTCTCTGTGTTAGCCAGGCGACCTGTCCAGGGTCCACCCAGTCTATCACCCTATTGTGTCTGAGACAGGCTCCTGCCCATTTTCTTGCTGAAGCATCCGCCCTCATTGTGTCTTTATCCTCTTAGTAGATGGCAAGAGAGTTTTATCAAGAATGTCTTGGTATATTTTTCTATTTATTCTCCTTCAGTTATATAAAGTGTGCCAGGGCCGCATGCTGAAAAACAGCCCCACACCACCATGTTCCTACCTCTAAACTCCATGCCTTTTGAACATGGTGTGTACTAAGGCATCAACTTTGGTCTCATCTGACCAGAGCATACTCTGTATTTTACAGGCTTCGGTAAATGTTGTTGAGCAAACTGTAAACGTGCTTCAGCCTGCATTGGAGTTTTGCGTAGTGAACATGCATGCAGTGCATTACTTTGAAAAAACTGCTGATTCCAGGTCTGTGTGGAGCTCTCCACACGTACTCCTTGGCTGAACATGTTTGATCCTTCTTTTTAGTCCTCTGTTTGAAAACCTGAGGGAAGCAACTCGTCATGGCCAGTTTATGGTGAAATGATGCACCATGGCCCAGGAGAGACTGTATAGTGCCATGCCAGTCTTGCTTGTAATGCGCTTGCAGGTGCTCAGATGAAAATGAAGACACACTTTGACATAACATCTGTTGTAGTTCTAACCCTACTCACAGTTTATTAATAAGAACTAAACTGTCACCAGGCCAGTATCAGAGAATCTGGGATCGTCAGGAGCCCAAGGCATAAACATCAACAAGGAAGAACCACACCAGAGTAACAGTGCACAAAATGGTATATTTGAAACACTGCAGCTGCCAAGAAATGCACTAAAATAAAGTGCGTGCTTACAGTTTGCCTCTGAGTCAAATGAATAAATGAATGTTTGATAACTGATGGATGGTTGGGGCCGGTCTGTGTTTGTCTAATTGTTTGATCTTCCACACTCCGGTGAAGAAGGAAATTTTGAAGTCCTGCAGGTATCTGCCCCACCATGCCATGGGAACAAAGCCTCAGCAGTCTTATCTACTCTTGAGTTGGCTTGCCCTCCAGTTAACTGGAACTGTGGAATCACTACTCGTCAATGGAGGCTTGCTTCAGACGGGTTTTTGTCTGTTGAGTCATCATTTACCAGATAAAATAAAAACCTGACTGATGAACAGGGAGGTATTCTGAACAACAAACAACGGCAGCAGAGTCACTTGGAACTCCTACCCACATAGCAGACCAGTCTTGTCAGGGCTCTGTGTGCGGGAAGGTGGAGATGTGGATCCAAGTGCAGGACTCTGAGTCGGAAATATAACTGAAAACCACAGCTTTATTGCTGGCACCAACAAAACAGAAACCAAACATGAAAACACTAACTGGAACACACAGGCAGGATCTGAGGGTACGACGCGACACTGGGTTGAGGACAACACAGGGCTTATATACACAGGGTGGTAATCAGGGAATGGGTAACAGGAGGGAGACACAGCTGGGAGAGATCAGGGCTAACGAGACAGGGGGAGCTAAGCTGCACACACTAACATAAGACAAAGACTTTCACAATAAAACAGGAAACCAGAAACCACTAAATAAAGATGCAGACACGACACTGAGAGACAGACCAGACACTGAACAGAAACTGCAATACACATGAGAACCCAAAACCAAAGAACTGATCCTTCACCAAGAACAGAAACAGATCTATAATGATAATAACAATAAACAAAGCACCAGAACATCAGGAAACAATCCATAATGCAAAAATAAACCAAAATATAAGAAACTCAAAATGCTGGGTCAACACT